ACCCGCTATTCGGGCCCAGCACCTGTCTACATTATAATTGTTCATTTGTGTCAACTATGTGTGTAATGTAGCTCATTACAGTATCAGTATCTGATTGCGTTAACGGGGGCATCAAATTGTCTAAATCGGTTTGTGCAGCAGTATATTTGCGAGGGGGCGACCCTAGAGACAAGACGCGCGATGTATACCCGTCTGAATAGGCGTCGTGGAGATCATTTGAGACAAGCATTAGAACTAAAAGATTTCGCGAGCACATTTGAACAATTGGCGCAGGAGTACAGTAGGGCGAGAAATCCAAATTAGTGGCCGCGGGTATGGTCGTGGTGACGTCAGGACCGAAGTCAATGCGGTGGCGCCTAATAATTAGAAACGGTGGGTTGGTCACATCAAGCGAAACGGCAAGAAGAAAGCTGACTTCCTGCACGCGGCGGTTGAGATGAGTGTATCAAACGGCTGTGGGGCCTCGACGCGATATGGATCCTAGACAGTGCTGCAAGTCGGCACCTGATTATGGACTCGGAAATGCTGGTGGACGTGAAAGACTGTGACGACTCGTGCGAGGTTGCCAACGGCCAGACGATCAAGGTCAGCAAGGTGGGGAGTGTCAACATGCTTGCAAGTGTTGATGGTGAACTACGGGGAGTCACTGTTAGCAATGTGTAAAATGCGGAATGTCTGTCGCACAACTTACTCATACACTGAGAATTGAAAAAGAAAGGTGCTGTGTTGTCATACACTAACGGACAGCGATATCTCAAGCGGACTAGCGATGGTGCGAAAGGGTTTGAAGTCATAAAAAACAATGTACTGACATTAAATGTGAAAGCAACCTCACACCAACAGTCAGAGGTGACATGGCTTTTGTAGTCGTGAGCGCAAATGACCTTAAATATGAGAGGGATAGAACATTAAGTGTACACTGTTGGACCTGCACAAACGATCAAGTCACCTACCGTTTAGAAGATAGCGAACACATCTTCATCAGGGATCGAGTTGATCGATCGCAGCCGTCCCAACTATCTCACCTGCGCACAAGGGAAGCATTCGAAGAACGCCCAGTCTAATGATACACTGAGTAGAACTCACCGATCGAACGCATCGGAGGCGTTATCTGCAGTGATATCAAGGGGCCGATGACGTCCATTGACATATATAAGAATCGCTATGTTGTGACGGAGGCGTTATCTGCAGTGATATCAAGGGGCCGATGACGTCCATTGACATATATAAGAATCGCTATGTTGTGAATATCATTAATCGCGCTATCAACTACTCCCGAGTGTTTGTGGACAGGACCAAAGATCAGGCTGCAAAGATGTTCGAACACTTCTTGATTTACGCTAAGAGGTTGTTCAATTGAAAGATACACCGACGGAGGAAGTGAGTTCAAGTGTGTTGACCTGTTCTGCAATTCTACGAGAGTATTACGCCAAGTAAGCAAATCCAAGAAGCAGGATTCAAATGGAAAGGCAGAGCGAATGCATCGCACATGGAGAGATGCATGATCTTTGCGAGTGTCCTCCCTTTGTATTTTGGGTGGATGCGGTGCAATATATCACGCAAGTTCTTAATCGCAGTCCAAGCAGTGCGAACCCGGAGCGTATGCCACCACGAGACGTTTTGACAGGAAAGACGCCCAATATATCCGAAATCGTCGTTTTTGGAAGCCCGTGTACCGTCTATTGCATTCGAAAAGAAAGCTTGGAAACCTCGGGCGGAGATTAGGCATGACTATTAGATAGCACGATGAAACAAAGGGCAACAAGCCCTACATCTCTGGTGACAGGTTGATGATGATGACACAGCACGTCATGAGTGTGGAGACTCTGGATAAAGAAGGCAACCGTCATCTTTAGGATCAACTTTGACGTGAAGACTCGGCACTCGAACTATCAATTCTGGACCGCAAGGGAGTCGGCAAGCGAAAGGAGAAGCTTAACACAACATAGAATGGCCGCGATACCGCTGAGAAGAAAGAGCTGCACCTCGATGGGAAGGAAAGAAGAAGCGTGGCAGTCGAGGCAAAGGATCGCGAGGAAAGTTGTGTCGTGTGGACCGTACCGTTTAAGACACCAATGCAGCCTACTTGGAGGAGACATCGGTTGGACAATTGACCACGAGGTATATGGGTACATTGTATGTTCCCGTTGCCATGATCGCCGTGATGATGGATAATCTAAACTACCGAGAAGTGATGCAATTATCGCACTCAGATGATTGGAAAAAAGTAATGAGTGCATATATCGAGTCGCGAGGCTAACGGCACCTGGAATGCAGCTTTGAAATCTTTAGGACAAAAGATGTTGCACTCGAAATGGGTATACAAAGTCAAATGCAACGCTAACGGCACGCTGGAACAGTACAAGGCGAGGTTGGTCGCCTGCGGGAACGAGCAATCTCATGGAATTGATTATACCATGACATTTAGCGCAGTAATGTACATGACGAAAGAGAAGATAGTTTTGGAGCTCCCAAAGGTGTGGCGAGTCCCCGTGCAACACGGCGACGCTCCGAACGCATACGTGAAAGCCGAAAAAAAGACGACTTGGAAAAATTTTCTGCACTTTCCTTCGGTATGATATTGGATGGGTACAAGCACAGTGTAATGGGGCAACCTATTACATGAGTAGTTATAGGAATAATACATAATCACGTAAGTAGGCATAGGGCAGTATCCGATTAGCGGATACTGCGCGTCATTTTATTATTGGTTTATTATTGGGGTGCCAGACCCAAAAATTAGCCAATAATAAATTGACTTCCATATTGAGTGGTTTCCATGAGCTAGGGAACATATTCGCACTTCCTGCGAATTAAAACAAGACAAAAATAAAACAGAGTAATATTTACGAGTTAATTAAAAGCGCTTCCTCAACTCCTTTGAGTGTAAGACGGTAACGGGTCCATAGCCCGTTACACTCAGGGTAGATGATCAAAACGACAGAGGTCAGTTAGCGTTACGATTGAAGAAGAGATTCTACGGCCTAAAACTGGCTGGAGGACTTTAGGCCGAGTTACTACACAAGACGCTCGTAGAATTGGGGTTCGTACAGTGTTACGCTGACAGCTGCCTATACTACAGGAGTAGCGATTCCGATACCACAATTGTCGGTGTGTATGTGGATGACCTTTTGGTGACTGGCATGGAAATGATCCTTGTTGAATAGTTCTTCGAAACAGACGCGTGCTACAGGTGAAGGATTTCGAAGTGTTGACGAAGTGTTTAGGCATGGGGGGTAACGTACGACAACGAGAAACGATACATAATCGAGCAACAACAGTGCATTCGAGAGCTACTCGTTACAATTGGACTTTGGCTGTCGAGCCCCGTACGACCACCCATTGGATAAGACCAAGACAGTGGAGATAAAGGCAATCTTCTACCTGGCGGAAGTGGTGGATATATGGAGCAACTGATGATATCCACGTTCCAATCCGTGATCGAAAGCCTGCTGTGGCTTGCGCGCTGCGCAAGATCGGACATCGCGTTTGCAGTGCATCGAGTCAGCCGACGAGCGCACGCGCCACGGTGTGTGATTGGAGATGGGCTAAGCGAATCGTGAAGTATCTGAAGGAAATGATGAGCTTAACGTTTCGGATGAACGACGATGATGATAAGACCAAGGATCGAAGAGTATCACTTGAAGGCTACAGAGACGCTATATACGCAGCGGATCGTAAGGATCGTAAGTCTGTGAATGGTTGTGTGCTATGTATAATCGGAATGATCGTGGGGTGGATCTGCAAAAACAAGCAAGTGTGGCTCTATTGACGAGGGAAGCAGTGTTTGTAGCGGGCTCGCTGGTACCAAGTAAACTGCTGGGAATGTTTGAGCTACTTGATGGGGTTAAAATCAGAATGGAAGCCCAAATGATGCTGCACATCGACAATTAGGCGGCAATCAAACAGATCACCGGCAAGGAAAGCTCAAGACGGGCAAAACACATCGTGGTGCGACACAACTTCGTAAAGGATTACAGCAAGAAGGGCGTGATCAAGGTCGTATACTGCAAGTCTAGTATGATGCGGGCTGACGCGCTCACCAAGACATTCGCTACTCCGCGGCTATGCAAACTGCGCAAGAAAATGTCCTTGGTGTGAGGACATCCCGAAAAGAAGTGTCGGAACGAAACGATTCTTGGAGCACAACGACTGCTGGAGTGCAGCGACTCTTGAAGCACAACGACTGCTGGAGTGCAGCGACTCTTGAAGCACAGCGAATGCTGGAGCACAGTGGCTGTTGAGAGTCCAGCAATTGCTAAAAATATCGTTAAGACACAGATTTCACCATGTTACGACTTCATCAAAGTTACTGACCACTTTATAAAGATTTTGTCTAACAAAAAATATCGATTAATTTAGTCATATAAATATTTAAAATTATAAATATTTAAATATCATTTTAAAAACATCCAGCTTCCCCGATGTGAGTACAAAGTCCAGTAACTGGAGTGTAGCGACTGTTCATGAACAGGCACCTTTTTGCTGTGTGCTCTAGGCAGATAACGGACAGATACGAGCGTGACAGGATAAAGTCGTCTTATATAACTCTTAGTTCTATAAGACGCAGCTCGATATAAAAATGCCGAGACATTGACATGTTTTTTTTACTATTTGGGTAATCTGACTGGTTATACGCAGTGCTACTGGTCAATGAATAAGTACACTGTGCTGAATACAGTGAGCAACGCTTCGGAAAGCGACACACTGCAGCAACAAGTCTATGGTGATCACGCAGTTGTTGTGAGTACAAGAGACTCAAAGTCCGTGATAGCCAACACTATAATCATCGTATGGTAGCTGGAGCTTTTGCGACGAGAATATGCAGCTTGGATCCCAGTTTGACCTTAATGAGTCTAGCAATACCGATGCAAGAAAGTAATGGAATCGGGAAGATACTTGTGCTAGTGAGACAAACTTTGGGCATCTCTAAACTCTCTCATGTTGATTTGGATTGATCGACTGAACTACATTTGCAAAAGAGTTCTACTCGATAAGCCCTATAACAAGCATTCAAACCATTTCATAGGCATCTTGGCCTCGTTCCGTAGTCCATCGCCGTTGAAGAATTTCATATCGCTATGATTCAGCTCTGTCAAGTAAAAACGATCTCTCCAGGTTTTACCAAACTTCGATGAAGGAAACCCTCCAGCGCAGCTTTCGAATTCTACCATGCCATCATTCTGCTTGGAGTGATGAGAAACCAATTTCGTTAAAGCCCAAAATCCGATTTGGCGGATGGATAAAATTCCGGAGCTTGACTTGCTACACATGATTGCAAACACGTTTGCCCGGTAAGCTTTCTGTGCAGCTACGTACGCTGCATCCAGGCTCTTGGAACTGTATTCCCCACCCTGGTATGACAGCGCTCTCAACGCATCAGTTGGAGGGCATAGACCAAAGATGTCTCCAACTTCTTCTATGACCCTGTTGGTTTTTCCAGCACAGGACTTCTGGGCAAAATCTGACGCCATACTACCCTTCATAGGTGCCGCCAAGCCCACCCACGTTGAGCTAGAGTCTAGCGTGCAAAGTCCGTTGGCAAGTGCACCAGCAAATGCCATATTACCCAGTGAGTGCGTAACGACGATGGTATCAACGATCTTACCATCTGTACTTTTGTCACTCACAGCCAGGATACGATCACACGCTTTTTGCTGTTGGGTTCTGCTTGTCCATGGATCATACCACGTATTCAGGTGTGTGAACTTGAGCGATGAACAGCACGACATGTGGTCGGGCAAGTAAGGACCCCAATATTTCGTAAAGCTATCCTGATTCTCCGGCGTTTCATCCTTTATACCCAATCCATGAACGAAGATACACGGGCGACGTCTCGATTTGCACGAACAGGACGACGAACCTTTCGACGAAAATATCGACGAAAAACTGAACGCAGCTTTCAAACTTCTCGCATTGCCTTGCATCAGTTTTCCAGTCAACAAATACTTTCCAATCTGTGTAATGGAGCTACGAGTCGCCACTGTGTCGCAGTTTAGTTCCGAAGTCGGAGTCGGAATTCTAATGTTCAGGTGGGCATTGAGATACTCAACCTTCACGTCCATATCACTGCCGTGCATCGTAAATCCCAGCGAATCCAATGTGCACAATGCAAAATCGATGTTGTTGATCGTAACCTTGAATAGATTTCCATTCGGGCACTCCACCGCACTTTGAAAAGTTCCTGCCTCACTTGAGATAGCAGTTGCTTCGTTTAACGCACTGATGATAGTGTTAATCGGTGGAATGTCGTCGAGTAGGGAATCCTGACATTGCATGGTCACATTTTCAGTACAAAAGTTTGAGACACTTGAAGACATACCAATTCCATTGACAAGGTAGTAGTTGTGCACTGTATCGCGTTCAGTGAATGATGAAAAGACATCGTAGAGTACACTGTCACCACCGTCCAATTCGATGGGGTTCGCAAAGACGGACAATTCAGTCAAGCCTTGTACCTTCACGGTGCTACGTTTGAGCGTAAATTGGAATTTCAAAGATGGCAAACCGGTTGTTTTCGTAGAACTCGCCTGAGTGTAATACCCAGACCATAATGTAAAGGCAGCAATAATACACAAACGAACGAAAACCATCTCGGTGCGAAGTGGTGTTAAACTGCTCGTGTTGTTATTCCAAAAGGAAAAAATGTAATATGGTGGCAGGTCTCCGTCAATTTCTTCGTGCTAGAAAGCGGCAGGAAGTACGTTCACGTACATACAAAGCATCAAATCTCACTTTTCATCATCATTATATTACAAAGAACGTGCTACAGAGATCCAGTGAGAGAGAGGCTCAGATTATCGATTTACACATGGAGTTACCTCTACGTGTAAATTCTCTGGCATTTGCCACGTTCTACCAAAACTACATCGTTCATCTCCTTCATGGCTCATTCGGCTGTCTCGAGACGTCAAATTTCACGGGAGACACTTGGCAAAGGGCACGTGGAAACGATTATCCAGGCCCGGGGTGCATACAGGGCGTTAAGGTCGCAACAAAGCGCCGGGGATCACTCCAATCATTCTCGATGGGCAGCTGACGGACCAAGGCTGGTCCAATAAAGCCATACTAGGCAAGTTTACTTGGTGGCATCGGTCTATTTACATACATTTGGTGTGTAAAAAATAATTTGATGAGCTTAAATCTCGTTAATTGATTACTAGATTGTGTCTAGGGTTCTCATAATATATTGGAGGGAGAGTTGTACTTCAATGGATAAAATATATAGACAGTTTGATTTACAGCCGTGGCGTATTTTTTATTTTACTGAAGCGTGGAATAAAAAGAGAGGTACATTGACATGGTTTTAACTATTGGCAAGAGAGAAGTGGCTTTTGAGGTTCTATATTGCACTCGTCAATCACAAAAAATTGTTACAAAATGCACATGAAGTTAAGTGAGAACAGACTTTCTATTTATCACAATGTTAACAACATTTCTAAAAAGTCCTCGGCCAATCTCTACAGATTACACTGATGGATAGCAACTCTGTGACACATCCAGACCTGGTAATTTGTTAGAGTGTGTCTATATTCCCAAAGCTGTGCTGGTGACTGTGACATCGGCAACTGGTTGCCGTCCTGAAGCCGTCTCGGTGTTCCGAAAGTGCTGGGTGTAGCTGTTGTTTGGCAAGAAGTTAAATCTACGACAATGAACATATGCAAAGTCGCGCCAACCGAAGCAGAAAATATTAACTTTTTCGCTCTTTTGTCCATCTCGGTCCCTAATGTTTGCTTGTTTTCGCATCATCAGTGGTATGAGCACAAAAAACGTCTATGAACTGTTTGACAAAACGCGCGTATATTTCGCACGTTCGACTTATTTCTAATTTCTTGCGTTTTTCTTCTTCATTTATCGAAAAATCAAGTGCGTTTGTCACAGTAACGTATCGCGTCCATCGTGTCAATTGATTGACTTGCAGAATTTAACAAAAACGAGAATTAAAGCGTTGTATACTTACCAGTATCTATTCAGCTGGTCAGGTAATTTTAGTGTGGTAAATTACGTCTGACGTTCATACGTAAGCAAACTAATGTACACCACATGTATCTAGTTAAATTCAGGTTCCCATACAAAACACAGTGAAAAGGTGTGTGTGGCTGGCTGTATAAAAAGAGCCGGGACACAATACATCGTGTATTTGTCCATTTGTCCAACAGGTCCTTCCATTTTGTCATTAAGAACAAGTGCGTGTATTGTATCTCCCTATAAATAAGCCACCATGGGCGAGGCGACTGCGGTCATGCCACCTTCTGCAGCCGTTACTACATCTCCACCTTCTCTCCTCACTTCGTCGCCATCCTGTACGTCTAATAACAGTCGAGGCGGTCGGAAACTACGTCAAAAGGTAGTAGACGAGATCAAGAATGTTCGAGTGCGCAAGAGTCCAGCCATTAAGGAAAAGTTGTCGAATCGTGGACCTTCTCCCCCTCCGCTGGAGCTCAATGAGGACGTCATTGATGACGAGGACGACGTGGTGCACGATCGTCAAGCTTTTGGTAAAGCAAAAGGCTGCAGTCTTTGTGAACGTTCATTTACTGTGTTTCGAGCCAAACATACATGTAGAATATGTACACAAAAGATCTGTGATGATTGCAGTAAGAACAGGATGAAGCTGCATCGTCGACTTGAGAGAAAAAAAGGATCGAGATTGTGTGATCCGTGTGCAAGGAACTACTTGCACACGGAGAACGGCAGTGGAGAAGACACGGTGGGACATTTTTCAGACACATGTCGGCCACTGACAACGATCGTCAGTGAAGACGGGGTAATGCACAAACAGGAAGAAACCGATAATGGGATGTTACGTCACCGCTCGGTGCAGACAAAGATGCTCACGTCGTTGATTCATATCAAGGATACAGCTCCAAAGTTGGGTTCGAATACTGGTTTTGCCGCCAAGCAGACTGGAACCAGATTAGACCGGGGAAACACCCAACGGGTTATGCATACATCTCATCTACGTACGCGCCACTGGGTGTCGTTGCTAGTTTTCACAGTGCTGGTGATGCTGCGTGTGATTTACTACAATCAGAGGACTATTTTTGAAGATAGTGCCCTAGTTTCTGATACTGCTGCCCAAATTCCAGCCCAGCCGCCGTATTCTTTTATAGAACGTGCACTTGACAATCTGCTCTCTATGCGGACGCTTGGCACGTATTTGTTGGGCCTGGTGCTTTTTGATGAGCTATCAGCCGCAAAAGGAGACAAGAAACCGCTCAAGCAACGTCGTCGTCGACGACGTCGAGTGAGTACAAGCAGTGGACGTTGCGAGCGAACGGTATCGTCACTGGTGAACACTAGCGTCGCCAGCAAGCAATGTACTGCTGATATACCAGCTCCTTCGTCGCCTCATTCGTCCCAGGATGATGACTTGGAGGTGTCTGTGATCGAACGGAATAATGACGACGAAGGCTTTACGGTAGACAGGCTTGTGACGGCTCTTGAAGAAGGGACTAAGAATCGTGCTCCTGATGGCAACTTGAGCCTTGGGTGCTTCATAACTACGTGTACCGTCATCTGCGGCTTTTTGGGTGTATTTGGTCGTGCCACTTCCTTTGCTGGAAGCACCGTCGGAGCCTACTTTACCTCGATTGATCACAATATTGATGCTTGGCCTGAGCCAACCTCATCAAACTCTTGGAAGGAGCAGAGCGTGAAGGCGGTGGTTGAGTACGAGGTAAGCATCGGAGTGGCTGATGTGGGCGGCAAAAAGAAGCCGTCGTGCTCGCGCTGTCTACTACGGCTGTTGTGGTTCATTCAGTTCGTGGAGGCTTGCGTGCGTCTGACGCTGCTTGACTCGACCGAGGACAGCTGCATTAATGGCGCCAGCAAGGCTTACGAAGAAACCTTGGGCAAGCGCCATCCATGGCTCGTCCGTAAGGGTGTTATCACCGCTCTCGGATCTATCCCTACGCGCAGCCACATTCTCGAAGGGCTTCACGTGGGTGAAGGCGAAGCTCTAGAGCCGCTGCGCAAGGCTCACGTTAAAATCGTGCGAGTTATTGCTGAGCTCAAGGCCGTCTTTGAAGCACATGGACTGACAGACCTCAAATAAACTACTACAAGCATACAAAATACACCTGGGAAAGTAATGGAGATCAATAAATACCTGCACATTTGATCCTTTGAAGAACTTCAGTATTGATAACGTTTTGTTACATGATCAAAAGGCAAGTGCTCTACCGTACGCAGCTCTGCATATCAGATCATTGGCGACCATCTCACCAACAAAAATGAAGCTGTTGAATCCGTCAAGCACACAAATTTTGTAGATGATGCGCATGCAACATTAACAGCGCATGTAACGTTATAATGCCAGCGAAAAACCTCTTTAGCAAGGACACGTTACAATTAACGAACCAGCTCTGTCATTCGATTAGAAAATACAGTTGTCAACAGCTACTTATGCTGTCCAATCATCTTACTCTTTGAAAATATCAAACGTTACAGATCAGTTGATATTCTAACTAATGTCTTTCGAATAAAATAAGGAAAACGAAACGTAGTTACATACACGTTTCGTTTGTATGTGTAAGAGAGACTGAAACCAAACATGAAAGTTTCTCGTAACGGCTCCGATCTCGAAATACTGCCACATGTTGTATGAAAAAGTAATTTCACGTTTGTAAACCAATTGCCCACCGAGTTTTTTTTTCCATTCGATATACACCATTCAACGAGACAAGAGACAGGAAAACGGATAGACACAAACAATCCTGTGAATTGCTACCATCTGGAATTACTTTTGCTTTGTTTTTTTCTTCTAGTCTGGACTCTGCTTGATTGCCGGTCTCGGCATCGTAGATCATCTTTCTGTTTTAAGGTGTGGTGGGATGTGTGTGCACCTTGCACCACGATGGCGTCGACGCTTATTTGTACTGGTACTGACATACCTATTAACGGCTGACGCCCATATACTACGTAAACTTAATGTTTGGCCCAAGACTGAACATACAGACTCAAAGTTGACCTCAGTTGGCAAAAATACAGACTCAAAGGTGACATTGGTCGGTAAAAATACATCCTTGGCAGTTGGCGACCCGATCGTGGGAGTCGTCACGACGAATTTGACGCAGAGTTTGACGAAGGTGACGGACGAAGCATGGAATTCAGGCAGCAAAAGGGACGATAGTCATTTGAGCACTGACAAATCTGTTTCGTTTAATAATTTGGTGAAATCGACGACGACACCTTCGACGAGCTTAAAGCGTTTGAAACATTTGGAACTTTTGGCATCGAAGAGGCCGAAGTCCATGGACTGTGAGGGTATGACTCCGTGCGCTACAAGGGGCAAGATAAATACCAGCGATCCGAAGCAAGGTGACGACGATAACGGCGACATTGATGCGTCGTTGGACAAAGGACCAAATAACGCCGGTGCTGATATCAGCTCGAACATCAAGTCAACTAACGACGAAACTACCATTCAGACGGGTATTACTAACAAAGCAGCAACTCTTGAGCCTGTTCTATCAACAACTTTGCAGTCTGCACCGATGACTCACGCGCCACTATCAACCTCACTGGTGGCGGGTCCATCTGACCATAGGACACAGGGGTATCCATCTTCCAGTTCAAGGGCACCGAGTGCAAGTAAGGAACCCGATAGTACTGAGGTGCTCGAGAACGAGACGAAATCGGCTTTTTCGACGACGGCAAGCAGGTCTTTAGACCAGACGCTCGTTGTAGTGATTATTGGTGTCGTAGGTGCTATCGGCACGCTGGTTATGTTTGTATCGCGCAGGGTATTAAAGGAGCAAGATGATGATCTGGACTTGGAAGATTCCAGGTTTTTCTAGCTCGTTCAGAGATGAAAATATGTGTAAACTTTATTGTAATCATTGGGAAGGAGCTAGCTGGCATTGCTGTATAATTGAAGCGAGTCTAAAAGCAGAAGCAACAAGAAGCTAGCTATCAAATAGAGAAGTGCACGCGAATGTGGCACGATTTTTTGTTAAGCTGCATACTCTGAGAGTATATTTATTCAAGACAGCGATCACAATTCGCTCGTCAGTGCTCGTTTCATCTTCCTGCCTGATCTACGCCGTCTTTGTCTTCGTCTTGGAGTACGCACGGTTGCGCTGTGTGAGCATGTGGCCGTACATGACAGGCAGACCCGGGATGTACACGACAAGTACTAGGATGACCACCAAGTAGAGCGACAACGAGATATTGTGCGTATTAGGCAGTTGGATCGAGTACACACCCGCCGATAGAAAGCTAAGTGAACTCACCATGCACAAGACCTCACCTTCATATAAGAATCAATGAAGAAATACAAGACAAAGGTGAGCATCACATTTGTAGCACAAAGTCATTTGAGAAACGTCAAGTACGTACCAAGTACACCCGATGGGTAAAGTAACATGAAGAGATGATAACGAAGGAAAAAGAGCAAGTTTGGGACCGCATTGTACAAGTTTAAAGCGTAGAACGAGTAACGTGGTACTTCTACAAGGCCCCAACTAGCCACCATAAGTGGGAATCCAAACTGATAACGTGATACGGGACACAACACATTGATTCCCCAGACAAGCCACAAACGGGAACTCACTTGCATGAGTGTCGAGACCAATGGTGAGCGTACAAAGCCCACTGCAGCGTGTACAATCTCCATTACTGCCATAGTTTGCACCACCTTAAGGGGAAGTGACACGACATCCCACGTGTTCTGAGCAATTTCATTCCATTCGTGACCACTTTCGTATGCTTTAGTTACCGTTATCATTGTAAGATAAAGCACATAGGCCCAGCCAGCACATGAGGCGCAATTGAAGGTCAGCAAGTACAGATTCAGCAGTCCATTATTGGTCATGATGTATGTAGTATACTACTGGTAGAGCAAGATCTACTCGTGTATACAATGATTGGCTACAAACTTGTTTCAATCCAAAGACACTAAGTACTTGTACCGGTAAAAGACGGTATTGATTACATGGACAGCAAAGCATACAAATGTCAATAGTCATGCGTTTCAATTGAAGGTGCTCCAAACTCGGCCAGTTGCATATTTAAGCCTAGTATGTCGAGCTAGAAGCCGAGCTTGCTCTAATGTCCAGTGAAGGGTTGTAATCTAGTCCGAACCAAGGGTCTTGCGAATTTGCTCCGTGACCTTGGACATATCTGTGTGAGCATTCACCTCAGCGAGCTTGCCTTGCTTACGATAGAAGTCAATCACGGGCTTTGTCTGTTTGTGAAAAGCTTCGAGACGCGAGCCCAACGTAGCCTCGTTGTCATCCTTGCGCTGGATCAGAGGTTCACCCGTGATATCGTCCTTGCCCTCAACCTTAGGCGGAGCAAACTTGACGTGGTAGCTGCGACCGCTGGCCGGGTGCACACGACGACCAGCAATGCGCTCCACTAATACTTCGTCAGGAATGTCAAAGTTCACCACGGCATCTACTGACGTATTTTCCTTTGCCAGCATCTCATCCAGCTAGATACAACAACCATAATCAAGATAAAAAACATTTAGCACACCGTGTTGTTTCAAACGTAGCAACTTGTTTCATTGCCCATACACACACCTTTTTAGCCTGCACGACTGTGCGTGGAAAACCGTCGAGAATAAAGCCACGACGGCACTCAGGGTTCTTGATCGCGTCCTTGATAATACCGACCACGATCTCATCGGTTACGAGAGCACCAGATTCCATGGCAGCTTTTGCCTTCTTCCCCATGTCAGTACCGGCAGCCACAGCGTTGCGGAGAATGTCACCAGTGGCCAAATGACATAAACAGTACTCTTCCTTTACCAGAGGTGACTGCGTGCCTTTACCACATCCAGGGGGTCCTAGATAAAAAGCATGTAAAGTCAAAAGATGTCATAATCGGCAGATTTTCAGATCGCATACACAAGCTACTGCGTACCAATAAAAATGGTGCGACGTTCTTTCTTCTTCGAGCACTCGATGCGTTTTTGCAACTCTGACAATAGTGAGGAAGTGGGCACAGTAGCAAGAGACATGGCAAGAAAAAGATCAGGACAAATGGACACGTCAAGACGCTCTTAGGGAGAAATTGGAACTGTCTGGACACCACTACGCCACGTTTTAGAACCCTAACCCGCTCATAAAATTATCACTTGTTTTGACCAATCGTTAGTGGCTATCATCGGAGACCCGTATCAAGCGTAATTACAAGTGTTTTTACAACGTTGAAGTTGACCTACACTCTTCCAGCAATTAGACGACAAATGTGTATATTGACAGCTTCACTTGGTCAGCGAAAAGTCCTGAATCGTATGGCGCGCATTCCGCTGCATAATTAGCTCAGCGGCCCAGGACTGAACCAGCGGTGTACGAAACTTGTCCTTGGTGCTCTGAAAAAAATTGTCCAATGGAATGTTTTGGGCTGTAGGTAGCAACAAATAGTATCAACATCATCAGAATGCATTCCAAGCAGTCTTCAAATGGAGCAGATAGACTGTACCTTTCTCATAGTCATCAGCTTGCAGGATCATCTCAAATTTGTCAAAATCCTGCAAGGAAGAAACAAGTTCAACAGTGTCGACAAACAAAACGTTTAGCGACACGCCATTGGTTGCACTAAACATCACATGACAAAGAATTACCTTGACGATCTTAGCCTCTTCGGTATATCCAGCCTCATACTCGTTCCACAGAGCACGGATCTCTGTAGCTGACGGCGTGTCGCCCAGTGTGTTACAAATCTCGTCCATTGCCTCCTGCGACAATCAGAGCATAAGTAACAAGCGCGTCAAACGAAGTCACCTTCTTCCCACCCAATTGCAAACAACAAACCTTTTCCATACGATGTTTATCCTCTTCAGTAACACCTATTGACCAACACGTTTCAATGTGAATAAACCAAATTATCAACACGTTATCATAAACAACTCTTTCAAAAAGTGACCATCGTAAGGCGTGATATCTCCAACCAATGACTCGGCCAAATCATGTACAATAGCCATCTTCATGCATCTACGAGCATCAACACAAGACACTGCGCCATTAGTATAGCGTAATGATGGTCAGGAATGAGTGACAATCTCTTTCACGTACTTGGAACGATTTACAGTCTCATTGGTATCATCCAAAAGCATGCAACACATTCCCATACGATACATATGATCAGCTACGGACTCGGGTAACGTCACGTTGTTATTCACCCATCCAGTGCGTTTAAGAGTCTACCGAGACAAAAGAATGATACAATTCATAGAAATAAAAGGTTTTCAGGGACGATTTCATGATATCAGTCTATTCTGTATAGAAAGAGAAGCAGGAGGTACGTATTTGTAGCTGTTGACTCACTTTGAGACGACCACAAAGTCGTAGAAACTCGAGAGCATTTAATGCCTTTGCTCCCGTTGCGAGTGACATGCTGCCCAATTAGATTGTAACCCAGGGTACGATTTACCGGTACGCTTCAGTATCTACCGAGACTCAGCTCCTTTGGTTTTAAACCAATCATGGGCCTCGATTTCGCATCCATTTTCAGATTCATGTGGCCACGACGTCAAGCATCTCATGGTGACTCTTCAGCCGCTCAGAAATCAATTCCCACGGCTCCTTTAGTATTAAAAAATGCATTACCATCTTCTTCACGCTCTTCTCTTCTGACACCTCTTTTTACATCGCGTAAAAGTGCCGAGAAGGCTGAAAACACAAGTATCAAACCACACAACGAAGTTAAATCCGGTGTTGACGACGCTGCGTGGCTCTTACGAGCTTTAGACAAGAAAAAACGAAAGAAGGTCAAGACTAAGACAGAGAAAAAGGCCGTGGGGTCATTAAACATTGTAAAATTAGGTAAAACGTCGCAGAAAACATCAAAAAACGATCGAAAAGGTGGCGCTTATGGACTTGCCATGTCTTTAAAGCAACAGCAGCAATTGTGGCGAAAAGGAGCAGTCAAGAAGCATCAGGACAATGCAAAAGCAGTTGCAAAAGATCAAGAACGAGAACAACAGGAGACGGGCTTTGATCGTGTCTTCCAGGAAGTCTTTTGTGAAGAACAAGAAGTGAAAAGAAGAGATGAGAATGAATCAAAGAGTATTTTTTGTAAGAGAGATAGAGGAGCTGACACTTCGGAGTTAAGATTGTCATTCTCGAAGTCAAGTAATGATGAAGACAGTGGAAAGCAAATATTTTCAAATGAAGAGAAAGAGACGGAAACGTGGAAGTTTACTTCAGCTGGGAACGACGTACTAAATCTCGACGACTTTGACGCTTCGTCTGGAAATACTGAAATGAATTTTAGCATGTCTGTTGAGGCTACAAAGGCAGCGGAGTTTGGCAGGTGGAAAGCGGAGGACACTCAAAGTGTCGTCAGTGATAATTTCGTGCGACTCAACATGCGAAAGCGGTTTAAAGGAAGTTCTGGACGTGCAAAGAAACGTCCGGCGTATTTACGTGCACGCAATGAGAGCCCGTTGGATGAAGTCACTGGTGACAACTCCAACGGCATCGCTCCGCTTGTTGATGCAAAAGGCAGTCAGCAACGCAAACTAGAGAAGCCACTGCTAGCCGATGACGGAGTGGACTTTATCGAGGAATGCCTAGAGGCATTGGCCAAGGCTGAGAAAGCTTGTGGTCTCTCGGCTTATGAGACGTTCGAGTCAACAAAACGAAAGCGAGAGACACAGCCTTTGCAACCGCCAAGATGTCACCATGCGCTCATTTGCCAAAGCTTGGAGGTCAAGAAAAGAAATAAAAATCACGGCCGACGGTTTTTTGCATGCCCGTTGGCGTTTGATGAAGGCCGCTGCGATTTCTTCCTTTGGGAAGATGACCACGTTCCGCTTGCGCTACAGACGCTCTTTACTGCTCCATCTTCAATCGTTTCTGGTGAATCAGCGGCAGAAGCAGAAGATATCGAGTGTGTACCATTGGATATTGAGGCATCTGAAGACGAACAACGTGATGCAATGCTTACTAACTTGCGCCTGGTGTTTGGACACACTAATTTCCGCCCCGGACAGCAGTGGGCTATCTCGAGGGTTCTGCATCGACAAGATACACTCCTAGTGTTGCCCACGGGTGCCGGCAAATCGCTATGCTATCAGTTTCCAGCACTGTTCTTACCTGGAATCACGCTTGTGATTTCACCGCTTATTTCACTGATGAACGACCAGTACGAGAGCCTTCCTGCACCTCTGAAGGCTCGTGCTGTGTGTCTTTCTGGATTCTCTGGTTCCGGTTCGTCGAAAAGAAAGCATGCAGCCTTTGTACGTGACCTGTTGGCAGATAAGCTTTCCCTTATTTTCCTGTCGCCAGAAAAGGCACTGGGTGCGGGAATGCAGGCGCTTCTTGCGATGCCGCGTGTTCGAGCTCGATTGGCGCTAGTGTGTGTTGATGAAGCGCATTGTATTTCTGAATGGTCTCATCATTTCCGCCCGAGTTACCTACGATTGGCAGAGGTTTTCCGCCATGCACAGTGCGTTATGTGTGTGACCGCCACAGCTTCACGACGTGTTGTGCACGACGTGCTGCGCCAACTGCGCTCACGTCGTGAGCTTCAGGTCGCGGCCAACCAAATTCCTGAGGATGAACGTAACATGGTGCTGCAAATGCCGTGGCAACGTAAAAACTTGGCACTTGAGGTCCGATCTGTAAGCTGCAACGATGAGCGGCTACGGCATCTTGTTCACATACTTCCAGAGCTAAGCAAAGGGTCGACTCAACCCTCTAAAGCGAATGGTGGGGGTGTTATCGTGTACGTCCATCAGCAGCGACAAACAGAGGAGTTGGCAGCTTTGCTTCGCGAGCAACTGCCTTCTACATGGCGCAGTTCCGGCAAGGTGATGGCATTTCATGCTGGTATGTCTCTCGAAGCAAAGGAGAAGGTTCGCACGGGCTTCGCACGAGGAAGAGTACGTGTGGTGGTGGCCACTGTGGCTTTCGGCATGGGTATTGACAAGAAGAATGTACGTGCAGTTGTGCACTTTCACATGCCATCATCGGTGGAGGGGTACGTACAGCAGGTTGGACGAGCTGGGCGTGACGGGAAGGCTGCGCGAGCACTTCTCTACCTACTGCATGAAGACGCTGTGCACTACCGCTCGTTGATTTTCTCGACGGCGCTACACCGCGATCAACTTCGGAGGCTGCTCACATTTGTTTTCCTGAATCATGCGATTGTAGTAACATCAAGCAAAGATCATGTCATCGCAGTGGAACACTCTAACCAAAAAGTTGGTGGTCTGACACTAGTGTCCTTAGAACGAGATTGGCTAGAACGCCACCTCGACCTGAAGGCGGCTACGATCGAGACGTTTCTTACGCTACTGGCACTAGAGACACAGCGTGGTAAGAACACCAACGAAGACAACAGTTTAGATTTGCGCGTGGTGCTGCAGCCTTTAAGCATGAGTCGGTGTACGCTGCAGCTGCTCGAGACGCAGGCGAAGAAATTGGCAACGCGTTCATGCGCAAAACTTTTGCTTGAAGCTGTGCAGCGCAATGAGCTTCCAAATGCACGTGTGACACATCGCAAGGACGGGTATCTGAGCTCTTGGGCTGTGGACTTCCATCTACATGAAGCAGCTCAATGGTACGAACGTACAATTAGTGCTCGCGGAACGGTAGAGAAAAATGCTACCACATTGGCAAGTTCAGGTGCCCAGCAGGACGGCGATACCAACGCTGCCGCTGTTGCTGCTGCAACAAACGAACGTCGGATGCTTCAGGAACTGCGGATAGCCCAGCAGACTGGCCACGTTCAGCGTTTGTCACTTTGTCAACCAGCGTTTCAGATACAGTTGAGTTGGCAAGTTGAACTGAGCGAAAAGATGAAAGCTGAGGTTGTAGAGCGATGGACCAATACATTGTACGCGAAGCATGAGCATCTCGAGTCCCGCCAGCTTGCCCGCCTTGCTCATTTGTATGGAGCTCTGCACACAGCTGCATTGCCGACGCCATCACCGACAGCTTCAAGGCATAGGATCGAAGACGAAAAGGACGAAATAGAAGTTCTTGAGGATAAAGCGCTTGCTCTTGAGACCAAGCTCGAACGCTATTTCGATGACGACGATGAGAAAAACGATGGTATCGAAGGCGAAAGTGGTTTTGAAGACAAACATCTCCTGCAGAAGATACTACGACCGCTGACATCATCTCTTATTGAGTCCATCGAGCGTGATACCTGTTCGCTTGTACAGCTTCGTCTTGACGGTAGTGATCCGATGGAAGGTAGCGAAGCCAAAGGTCACAAGAATTCAGACGATGGCACGAAATGGACGAGCTATTCGGTGGCCAAGGTGTTTCATGGTCTAACAACTCCTCAACTTTCGATTCAACGATGGCGCGACCATTTATGCTGGCGTCGTTATTCTGATGTGGCGTTTGAGCGCATTGTTCAAATCGTGAACAAAGTGTTGCTGGAGAACCAAACTACCAATGCGGCGAATGTTATGGGCGACAAGTACGGAATCGTCCCAAACTGAAAAGACGTGTGGCATAACCAAAAGTATTTGCTGCTTGAGTACGAGCCACTGGAACGGGTGGGATACCCAACACGATGCAGCTTTATAAAGTGGTGATGGATAGCATGACTGGCTCATCAAACTACAGAGAAAAGATTCTTCGGAGCAAATCAGTACGTTGTCATTCTTTATGAGATATCGGACCGTAACTTTGCGCCGCCGATAGCATTACACACCAAGTGTAGTAGATTGTACATTGAGTCTCATCTGCCTTATGAACTTTTATGGACCAGATTCCTTTGCGATGGGCATGAGGTGTTCACTTTAAATAAAGCAGGCGGTAGATCCCATTTCCAAAGCATTGAGTGTCGGTGACGTCCAATCAATCCACCGAAATGACGCTTACTATCACGTGTTTAGCATTGACTTTTGGGGCAGCAATTCTTGTATCTGCAGTGTCATCAAGTGCTACGGGAGAACCAATTCCGACAAATGACAAGAGGAAGCTGAAAAGTGCTTTTGATTTTGGCGATGTGCTGGGTTTAGAGCTGAAGTCGTGCTCGTGCAAGTCGATACGGCGTCCGTGTGTCTTCATCCATGGACAGGGTATTCAACCTGAGTTAGCAGACAACCAAGACTCGTTTCCTCGCTACTGGGGTGATCTGTCTGAACACGCCCCGTGCTGTTTGTCCATGAAATATGCAAGGCTAGACACGATAAACAATTATTGGACTAGCAACGCACTACAGCAAGCAACCTGCCACCGAGCTCTTGCTATGAGTAGTTCTAGCACGAAATCTACAATCAAAGACACAATCGTTATTGCCCACTCGATGGGAAATCTCATGTTGGCTGGAGCAATTGCTAATGGTCTATGCGAGCTTGATTCAAGCTCGACGTGGGTGGCTATGTCGGGACCGATGAAAGGAAGCATGGCGTCAGACTTTATCCAAAGCACTTGTGCTGGAAACGCGAGCAGAATCCTCAAAGATATTGGTGATCTTGTGGGAAAATGCCCTCCAAAGAAATCAATTATATCGGTGGCGTACGAGGGCGGGAGTTACAGCTCCAAGAAATTAGACGCTGCGTATAAAGCTGCACAGAAGGTCTACCGTGACAAAGTGTACGCTGTCATGTGCGGTGTAAGCTCTTCTGGACTCTTTTCCACTTACCAATTGAAGTTTATACTATCTGACAGCCTTATTCCCCACAAGTCGGACAAGAACGATGGCGTGGTTGAATTCCAGAGCTGCGCCGGTGGAATTCCAGATGATAAATTTGGCGACACTTATCGTGACCGCTTCTACAGGGCTGAGCTCAACCATTTTGACATGGAGTTTTTTGCGGGTGATTCACTTTTACGAAACGACGCGAAGATGCCAGTGAAATGGTTTGAATGCCTGCTATAACGTAACAGGTCAAACCACTTTGCAGCAGCATCATAATACAATATGGAGCGTCTTGCCTCAAGGACGGTCCACGTCAGCGATGTTGTGAGATTTCTAGCCCGAGGTCATCCTATTTGGACCTGATCAGACGCAAAATGAGCGCACAGCACTACCATAGTCAGCAAAGTAGCCACTCTTGTGTCATGAGCGCTTCTCTATGTACCTAAAGTGCATCATGATGAACATGACATCCATGAGAACACCCATATTGTTGTGCGCAATGGTCATCCAGCGCCCATTTGGTCAAACATTTACTCTACTTTGATCAGGTACCCTTTGTTCGTGTGATTTCGGATTCGTGACTTCTTCTGGGTGTTTTCTTCGGTAATATTTGAAGTATCGTGCGGCGTATTGTTGCAAAACTTTTCTTCGCGAGGCTCACGACAAGGTAAGCAAATGATTCATGCAGCTTCCTGATGAATACTAAACGTTGAACAATACTGAACAGTGAAAGCTTTCCAGATACATGCACTACCAGTTTTTTTTATTTCGCTCATGTATTTTATGAAGATGGTTGGTAAAGCCATACAAGTATGACTGTATCGCGTTTATGGCTTACATCAGCTTCATCTTGTGCACGCTCCTGAGCACCATGAAAGAAGCCCCAGTACCAAGACCTGTCACAGCCGAACCAATTGCGAGCGTAATCCAGCCAATCCAAACGCCAGGGTCTGGGAATGAGTAGCTGCCAATGTCAGTATCCCATTGCGGTTCTGTCCAAATAGGCATTGACGAATTTGCAATGTCGTATTGCAGCGCGGTCGTAGTTCGCGTCAGTCCCGGCGAGATGGCTTCGTGATGGAACGCACTCTTGGTAGCACAGACACCTGGATAGACGCATTCCATTCCTTTTCCACCGTCACTGCAGCCTTGGCTTTGTGAGCATGTGGCAGCAGCATCAGCAGTAGCATTCGGGACCATCGCGGACGCAAGAAAAGCACGAGTAAAGAATTCGTATGCGTTCGGAAAGAGGCGTACAGAGTAGGTGTCGTCCGACCATGAATCGTTGAGAAGCGAGAGTATCGAATCGTCACTCTTTTTCAAAAGCATCATCGAGCCATCGACATATATTGAACCGGCATACAGAGTAGCCGGCACAGCGTATGATGGAGATGCCGTGTCCGGCAGACTCAGATACTCAACTAATGTCGCCTTCATGTACTGAGAGTAATTCTTCATGAGGTCACAACTCCAGTCCGTCGTGATGCACAGCAACATAGACTCGACCAGCCATGTATCCACCTTGATCTTGTCTAGCTGTTGTTTCGTAGCTTTACTCGAGGCAAGACTGAATACACTCTCTGCCAGCACCTGCGCAGCCTGCACAACAGCATCGATATTGAGGAGCGCGAACTCGTCATGACGACTGTTATACGTCTTCTTCGAAGTGTAACTATCGGCATATCCAGCTAGCACCGCGCCCACAAGGTCTCGCTGACCGTATTCAGCATCATTTACGAAAGAAGTCAATGGTGTAGGAGGAAGAGAGCCTGTGCTACCCTTGGTAATTCCAGAGGCAGCTGACGGTGCGTTCAAAATGGCATCAATAAGATTACTAGCATCGTTTGCATGGGGATTCACGTGCACCGTAAAATTTCCTGATTCTGGTAGGATCCCCACCTGATCAACGGCAATTGCGTACGCAATGTTTGCAGGCTTCAAGTTGGCAAATTCCGTACTACTCAGCATCGGAGAGGTGCAAAAGGTGCTGCCCATCGGCGACACGGAGTTATGAACAGGGAAGGCACAGGCACCTTTTGGATCTTTGGTAAATTGCTGTAGGTCTGACAAAAACTTTCTCGATCCGACAAATCCAAATTTCTCCGCCTGAAAAGCTGCAAACACCACCTTCTTGGTAAAAACCGAATCCGGTAGTCCTTTAAGTGCATGAGCTGCGGCTAGCAAAGCCACAAGTCCCGATGCTCCCGTGTTGGCTCCGGATGCCAACACATGCGACAATGACGTTGCATCCATCCCTGCCATTGCCATGACAATCTCTTTTGATTTCAAATTGCCTCTCATAGCCCATGCACTTTGTCCTCCAATGGGGTCACATTTCGGACTACGATCTCCATGAATATTCACAAACTTCAGACACTTGATAGAATCCATTTCTTCCGGTCCAAAGTAATAATTCATAAAAGCCTTGTACGATGCTCCCGTTGTTTTTTTCATATTTATTTGAGCACGTTTCGTAAATTCAGCCCCAATGGTCGCATTTTGCAGCATCACGACTGGAAACGGCAATAATTTGGTCAATAGTCCAGTACCCGTTGGATTCCATTTGATTTTATCATTGGAAAAGGGATTCAAACGTGCATCCACAGTGCCGTCTCCTTGAGGTGTTGAAGATTCAAACGATTTATTCGACCCTTTCGTATTTGCATCGGGAAAGATAAAGAGGCCCCCAATTCGATCAAAAGCTATCGAAATGACATCGTAATCAAGCAGAGATTCAGGCATGACCAGGACGTTTTTTGTCTTGTCCTTTAGCGACTTAGAACGATCGTTAACAAAATTTTGAAGGTCATTTAAAGTGACAATTGGATAAAGGAGTGCCATGTCAGAATTTGACATACTGCGACAACCGATACTTCCCTTGGAATGAAACAAACGGACACATTCACCACCTGAAGTGATCAATTGTTCAGGCTTCCCAGCAGTCACGGAAGAAGCCTCTAAGTTGCACATTTCAAGCAACAATAACGCCACCGGAAGCAGCGAGGAGAAAATGGGGAGACGCATTTTTATTGAAACTGGATTTTTTGGATTGGGGGGTTTTGAAATATTTGCAGTTGGGACTATTGTTGACAGGGTCGACTATTTTTGACAGGGTCGACTATTGTTGACAGGGTCGACTATTGTTGACAGGGTCGACTATTGTTGACCCTTTTGGTGATATTTGACATTTGAATTAATGACGACTCAACGTGAGCTAAATGTCCGCGAGTTGCTGGAGCTAGAGCGACAGATTTATCAGGAAAGTATTGATCGGGTTTTACAACAACAAGAAGAGCTAAATGCAGGTACATTGGAAGAGTTTGTGCGGCGTTGCAGACCGTTTGAAGCCGATCGAGAGTGGGAATTGCAAGCGGCGCAGCATCAATTTGAATTTTCACAGGAAGACGCACAAAGTCTCTTTGAATTTGACGTTCAACAGGCTCAGGACGTTTTTTTGTCGGATAGACAACAACTCAAGTGCAAGTTGCTGGATCGTACACGACGAGAACGACGAAGAATTGAGAGGAGACTTCATGAGGCAAATTTTGACACGAGCAACTTTAGGAGGTCAGGGAGATGGAGTGATAATGTTGAAGGAGTGGATAAATTGCAGCCGACGTTGCTGGTAAAACAGCTACAACGTGCGCAATGGAGGACAAGGAAAAGTTTTAATTTTCGACATTTGTCACGAGGAGTGCTCCCAACACCTGAACGGATTGTCGAGGATGTGGTGGAAGAGTGTGCAAAGTTGACAAGGAATCGAGAACGTGAAGAAACACTGAAGATGGGGGAAGAGGAAGGTGTGGAGCATAATGTAAAGGTGGTAGTCAGTGCAAATGGACAAGAATTGAGATGTCATATATTGTGTGGAGAGAGTGAGGAAGAGGTGGATGACACGTTTCGTGTGGGAGATGCAGTGGTGTTGATATCAAGATTGACCGAGGAGGATTTCTATGGATTTGTGTCGGCTATTACAATGGAGGAGATCAAGTTGGTGCTGGTCTGTGGAACTCATGTACGCGTGACAATTGCGCGACTTCGTAGTGGACAGTGTGTATTGCGAAAGCAGTCGGAAGCAACGCTTTTACCTATCGAAAAACGAGAAGATGCACCTTTTTCCGAAGTTGCGACTAGTCTTGAGAAACTGTTACAGGATCCACCAGATGCTCGACGACGTGCTGATGCATGAAAAGTATGAGCATGTAACCCACGCAGGTTGTTCTTCTTTACTGACGATTTATGGTGTATGTGCAGACCATTTGAAGCAAAAGACAACAATAGATAATCGACGTGGCTTTTGATCGGTTGTTTGACCCTTCGCTTATCATAGCTTCTATCAGGATTTTAAGGAACAAAAGTGTTGACAACCTTTACTGCGTCTTTTTGTGCGCTGCCGAAAGCTCAGCACTGCCAATTGACAGCAGCGGACGGAAGGTGTTGATGAATGTGTAGCGCGAGAAGGCTACGAAGAGGCGGCGGTACCAGACAAATTGACTTTGATGCAGTGCCATCGCATTGTAGTTCCACAGCGGCTTAAAGACAAACACGAATTGTCGTTCGTCTTCTCGCTGGCGTGACAACCAAAACAACAATGCCGTATCGAGCAGCCCCACGTACTTGCGTACAATAGTCGTGCTTTCCAAAGCCCATCCTCGAACAGCTTTTGTCTCTTTTCCATCCTCAGCTGTAAGAGTATTGCACTTCTCCTGTTGCTCACAAATAGCTTGTTTCACACCGTTGTATGTAGCAATGTGGTTTGGATGACCCGACACTCCATAGTCATCAAAAGTAAAGACCTACAATCACCAAGCACACAATGGTCAGCTCTACCGTTTCCAAGTATTTGTTTCAAGTAACACCCCACCAACCGCATCAATCTCGTTCTTTTGCACATAATCTGCTACAATAACAGCAATATGGGCCACCTCCCATTGATTTTCCATACCATCTTGAAGCTTGGGATCTTCTAAAGCTTGGACATGTTCCAGTGACAATCCAATGTACGTGGCACAAGCTTTAAGTTCCTTTTCTCGGATACTGCCCAGTCCATCAAAATTACCCCGAGAAAGACACAATAAGTGTGTCTGCCACTTGTCAGTGCTATTTTTCTGTCTCTTTTGTAGCGAATGCAGCAAAGGTAGGAAGAACATGCTTTCGTCATCGGGATGTGCAGTGACGAGTAATGCCCGTTTCAATTGAACAGGAGTCGATAAAGACGTGGCACTTTCACATGTAGATGATGTAAAGAATACGAAGACTGCAATAATAAAGAGAACTCCATTAGCGCCTAGTAAGAGGTACTTGAACATCTCTAACAAAATCTGTAGCTCATCGTCGGCCTTGTCAAACATGTTGTTGGTCGAAGATTTTCTTGTATAGAATTTCGTTACGTAAGATATTAAAATGGCTACATTATGTAGCGAGGAGCTCTTGATAGCGACAGAGAAATCCTGCCGCTGTGTTAGCAATTTGTACAATGGAATGGTATTGGAGTGATTGCATCGTAGTTATCATTTTGTTGGAAGTGATATCGATGAAAGCGCTCGAGTCCAATAAGAAATACGCAATGGACAATGCAGAGACTCTGACGTGGAGCTCGGAAGGTGTGAATGGCGCTATTTGCTCATTTTTTAGCGGGATTTCAAGGATGTATGGCACGAGAATATCCACTCCTTCACCGTCAATGAACTGTTGTTGTAGATGAGGGTCTGCAATGCAATTACAGATACCTCCCATTGCAAATTCCACTAGTTGATGCTTTCGTGGAGGTGATGTTGTAATCTCTTCGTCGTAATTGGTATTGTTGGAATCTTGATCTTCCTGATCGACGTCCAAGAGATCAAGGAATAAGTCCATGATACGTAGACGACCGAGGGACATGTAGTTGATTGGGTCATAGGCGAAGTTGGCTAAATTTGCCACCACTTCTTCCTTCCGGAAAATGTCAGGCGAGCGCTGGAACTCGTCTACCAGTTGTTGTAAGTATTCGTGGCGTGGTGCTGCGTATTGGCCTTGTCGTTCTTGAAGATGCTCACGTGATGACAGCATAATTGTTCTGTACTAAGTTGGTTGTGAAGGTGCGTTAATGCTGAAATTTATCGATGGAAAATGGATGGGCGACAGGACTTGCAGTGTAACTATGACACAAGTGCTATCAAAAAGCTTTCATGTATTGGACCCAAGTGTGTGACTGGCAAAGGCCTACATTGTTGTCATTGCTTTCTCTACAAAAGCTTCTTGTAAGGTTTGATAGGATTCACAATGCTGCGGCACATGGGGTTCGTGCAGCGTGCGCAGTTGAGCGGGTACGCTGGCGAGTGCAGCTCATTTGAGTCCAGGTGCTGCTTCACGATGTCAGCCTGCGCCTTGAACAATAGAGGCTCATCGTTCAGCGACGGACACCGCTTAAAGTTCTGTGACAGAGAGTGAAGTAACCATGAATAAATATGATGGATGATCTTTACTAACACAAACAAAAGCCTTTACCCACCGTAATGCCAGCTTCCTTGGCCTCCTCGCCATACTCGATGTCGATCTCGTAGAGCGTCTCAATGTGGTCGGACGTGAAGGCAATGGGCACGGCCATAACGTACCTGCAACCAAACAAACAAAAGCAACATTAAAACGAACAAAAAGGCAAAACGACCCGAACAAAACGCACTTATGCCCCTGCTTTCCATAGTGCTTAATCACGTCACTGGTGCTTGGTCCCATCCACGGCAAGTAACCGACTTTGGACTGCCAGCTGAGAATGTGCGGATTCTTTCCAGCCAATTGCTTCATCACGCGATCCGCCGTCGCAGCAATTTCATTCACGTACGCGTCACCCTTGTACACGGTCTTCATGGGGACTGAATGTGCAGAGAACATGATAATGACCTTGTCTCTGTCTTCTGGCGCGTACTGCTCGAGTCCAATCTTGACACGGTTTGCAACAGCCGAAATGTAGCCCGGGTGTGTATTCCATCGGTCAATAAGGGACCATTTAAAGTCCTCCTTCATATCCAGTCGGTCTAGCTCACGCCATAAATGGTTCATGCTCGAACCCGATGTGGTGCATGACCATTGTGGGTACTGTGAAAAGGCTACGGCACGCGTTATACCGTCCTCCTTCATCTGCAACAGTGACTGCTCTGTCAATGGATTGGCATAACGAAAGAATACGTAGTGCTTGTGTGGTGCACTCTACATCCATATACAATTCAGAAAATTAGCATTCGAAACACTTCGTCAGTTTTCATAATTCCTCCTACTTCTGGTCGTATCTCGTCCAGAATTTTGCATAAATTTTCACCCTGAATGTTGGTCCATTTCAGAATGGGAGAACCACCTCCAATTTGAGCATATTGGTCCACAATCTTAGGTGTACGACGCTTGGCCACCCATGGACCAACATAATCCTGCATTGGACCCATGGGAATCAATTCTGGGTCTGTAAAAAGGTTTGTGAGGAAACTCTGCACCTCTGGTAACGTAGACGGTCCACCCATATTAAACATTGCAATGGCAGTAGGAGTTTTCTTAGTAATAGAGCGGATGGATGTCATGATAAATGGAGTAAGAGCTTCGAGAGGGTGTTTAATCTATAGGGATGGTCTAAATTAAATGAGACTGTAATGGTCGGACACGACAGCAACTCGCGCCTTTCCAAAATGATCAGAATGTAGCGAGTTTGAAGGGGGATAGCAACAGTACAAACAGCAAGAGAGCAAATTAACGAACAGGAATGTATGTACACTTACCACACAAGTATTTCATGTCGTCCACATAATCTTTTTCGTCAACCATGCCGCGCGAGATCATCACTCTGCAGGCAGGCCAATGTGGCAATCAAATTGGCATGGAATTTTGGAAACAGTTGTGTGTAGAACATGGGATTTCTGCGGACGGGATTGTACAAGACTTTGCTACGTCGGGTCATGATCGTAAGGACGTATTCTTTTACCAGGCAGACGATGAGCATTATATTCCTCGTGCTCTTCTTATGGATTTAGAACCTCGTGTGATTAATAGTATCAGTACTTCGACCTTTAAAAACTTATATAATCCTGAAAACTTTTTTGTGTCCAAGGAAGGTGGTGGTGCAGGTAATAATTGGGCCTCTGGGTATCACCAAGGCGAGAGTCATCATGATCAATTAATGGAAATGATTGACAGAGAAGCTGATGGTTCCGATAGTCTTGAAGGTTTTGTATTATGTCATTCAATTGCTGGAGGTACTGGATCTGGTATGGGCTCGTACTTATTGGAGAATCTAAATGATCATTTTCCCAAGAAACTTATTCAGACGTACTCGGTGTTCCCGAATCAATCCGATTTTCAAAGTGATGTGGTAGTACAACCATACAATTCTCTTTTAACTATGAAGAGATTGGTCTTGAATGCAGATTCCGTTGTAGTACTGGATAATACAGCACTAAACAGGATTGCAGTTGAGAGATTGAGAGTGGAAAATCCGACAGTGTCCCAGTTAAATTCTCTCGTGTCCACAGTCATGGCAGCGAGTACAACGACATTGAGATATCCAGGATACATGAACAATGATCTTATTGGACTCGTAGCGTCATTGATTCCTACTCCACGATGTCATTTTTTAATGACGGGATATACCCCTCTAACGCTTGATGCGCAGGTGTCCGCCGTGAGAAAAACAACGGTGTTGGATGTAATGCGACGTCTATTGCAACCAAAAAATATTATGGTGAGCACGTCTACCAAGACAGGGTGCTATATCTCGATCTTGAACATTATTCAGGGAGATGTGGACCCCACTCAAGTGCATAAATCTCTGCAACGAATTCGAGAACGAAAACTTGCGCGATTTATTCCTTGGGGACCTGCATCGATTCAAGTGGCATTGTCGCGGAAGTCACCGTACGTAGAGACGGCACATAAGGTGAATGGTCTCATGCTGGCCAATCATACAAGCATCGGAGCATTGTTTCACAAGTTGCTGCTGCAGTACGACCGACTTAAAAAACATGGCGCTTTTATTGAGAATTACCGGAAGGAGCCCATGTTTGCAGAGAACCTCGACGAGTTCGATAGTGCACGCGAGGTGGTGCAGAATCTGGTGGACGAGTACAAGGCTAGTGAGCGCGCAGACTATGCGACGTGGGGACAGCCACCTCCGCAGACCGCTACCAGCGCAATGGACGACGTTCGCATGTCATATTAGACAGCCAAACACAAATCTCAATTTTCAGTAACACGCATTCGTTGCCAACTTCAATTCTAAGTAAGACCGCGTGGTCAATATAATGTTCTGCTTCTCTTGCTACTGTAGGCAATCATGTCAAAACAAGCTCGCGACGAATCACACTTTCATCAAATTTGACCAAAAAGACTGTCTTGTTTCGTTGCCCACCAGAAACTTCGACTGTGTGTGCCGATACATCCGCCAGAAAGCCACTGCTGCATAGAATACCACGCACAATACCCGCGATGTACGCGGCACAGTCGAGCTGTCCTAGATCAGACGGCACCGACACAAATTTGTTCGTAAGTGGCTCCAGCTCATGGATCATGTACTCGTTCACATTCTCCGTACTGCGCTCCAATGCATCAGCAGCCTTGCCAAACAGCGCTTTCCAGCACGTCGAGACAATGAATTGCAGCATGGACAGCAACCGAGTTTCACGCCTTCCGGACTTTTCACGGTGACACAAAAGTTCTACCACACGAACACCGACACCAAATCCAGCACCATCAAGTCTGCATATTCAATAATAGCAACAAATACACAGAATTAGTATATTTGAACAATATTTCAAAATGCGATACAGAATTTTACAAAAAGCATTTGATCTCAGTACTGACCGGTTCTCAAGATCCGAAATGTTCTGCACGCGACCCTGGAAATATTGCACCATTTCGGAGAATAGGAAGGAAAAGGCACTTAGACTTACCTGCAGTCATTATAATACAAACAATAAATGCAAGTTACAGGGATGTATTGAGCAATAATGTTGCAGTATGGTTATTAGTTTTTTGTATATGTATGGATAGCACTCACCTCACTCTTCCCACGACTTAGAGGACGGTCCAAAACGTGCAGGTTTGTCGCAGAGACGCCTGTACTGCGGCGTCCACTTTCCATCATGACTGCGTACTTAAGTCGTACTTACTGTTACCTCCAATATCACGCCCGCAACCATTTCGTATATAGCACTTAGGTAATTTAAATATTTTGTGGTAATTTACCACTTTTAGACGGTAAATTTCAGGATGTCTATTGCCTGAGTTTAATGACCCAAGGATTGTCTCTGATCATGCCGAGCAGCAAGAAACATTACACCTTCGTCTTAAGATGTGCAAGATTATAGAGAACCTAATCCTCACATGCAAATCATTGAGAAGCCCTAGTCCTCGAATGTGAAAATTTTGGACAATGACTTCGTAGTTTTGGATCTCAATCCCCCCGGCTGGGCGCTAAAACAATTGGATCACCTCTATAAACAATTTCTCTGGAAATCGTCCAACAAGATCGAACCTGGGAGACACAAAGTCGCTCCAGGCCTACTTTACACTCCCCGGAAGGCAGGAGGAATTGGCCTAGTGTCCGTCCCAGTTGCTATTAAAACACAGCGAGTGAAACACGCGCTTCTGGCACTTACTCGGCCGGAGGATATGTATCTCACAGCGTGGGTGTCCTGGAACACGCATGGTGCACGTAACACGTGCATCAGCCCGCATCGACCGAGCGTAAAACACATCGTATCGCCGTCGTTCGAGCGTTATCCCGATGTGATCCATGAACTCGGCTGCACATTACGGCCAGACATCGCGCAAACGGCGGTAATCCTAGCACGAGTACAAGAACATCTACCGAACCTTCGGTCATCATCGACCAGTTGGTGGGAGGAAAATGACTGGATTTTGCACCTCTCCGAGCCCCTTCCATGGCGGCCTCAAGGGGATGAGATTTGGCCTCAGGAGATAAACGATTTTTGGCAGACTTTTCAGTGGAGTGGTAATCCTTGGATTCTCTCACCGCAGGCGCTCGAGCTGTCCCGATCCAAATATAACAGAATTCGTGATGTATCCCTCGAACAACTCCACATCCAGCGGACAGGCCCCCAAGAATACGTCTTCAGCGGCATTGGCACGGATGTCCATGACCCCCGCCATTCGCATGCGAAACTTCGAGAATGGGCGATCATAATTTTACTTTCGTCGCCGCCACTAGACGTGGGAAATCCGGTAGGGTGCCTAAGCCCATTGCGGCTAAGGCAACAGCTACCATTCACGCAAGCCATCTCATGGGTGCTGATCGGGCCAGGCAAGGTTCGAGGCGTTTCACTCTCTGATGAATCTGATCGCCCTCAGAGTTGGGAGCTCACTCAATGCCACGATGGCATAACTTGGGTTTTCGACGGCGCTCCGCCGCTAGTAAAAGGGAAATCGCAGGAGCTCACCCAACAAGCGGAGAGCAAGCTCAGCCGACATGGGGTTGTCTTTTTTTCCAACCCACAGATCCACCACTATCCGTGGTCCGCACCGCCTACGGTCCCCAACCATCGACTATTCACTTTTTTGAAAAAACAAGCTTTTCAGGCGACAAAGCGCGGTCTCGCAGCACCGCTGAAGCAGGTCATCGATCGGCTAGTCACAAAGAGCCAGAATACGCGGTGGCAATGCACAGCTTTAAATGTCACGCCGGCTCAGCTATGGGATCACGGCCATGCGGTAACGGAATACCAGCTATGGACACGATATCGACACGCTACCGGACAGCTAAACTTTTGGTACCAAAACCGACCCCCGGACGGATCATGCACATATTTGGAATGTGTAGGCCAAAAGGAAACCCAGGAGCATCTCTTTTGGGGATGTCCCCGCGCTCAGGCAATCTGGGCCCGGCTTATCAGTCATTGGGAGAGTACACCTCACCATCCTACCCACCTCCTGGATTGGCTCGAACACTGCGCAAACTGTAGCGTACCACGTATCTCGCCGCAGGTCACAGCAAAGCTGTTAGCCCGGTACCCGGAAGACATTGATCTATTCGCCACAGCCTGGAGGACGATTTGGGAAGTCGCAGTGACCGTCATTATCACAATGCTCTGGCAACTTCGCGTGGATAGGATTTTTAACAATGCGCTTATTCCGATACAAGCCAGTGAAACTTTGATCTGGAATAGGATTCAGCTCCAACTGAGGGCGCTCATCAAACGTCTCCATTGCAGAGCGGCCACAGCCGTCCGTGGAGCCCAACTATCTGCATGTTACGACATATTTATATCAGAACCGAGAGGGCAGTCCGGCGTTCATAGACGTGCTGCCAGCCGTAGGCAATTCCTGGACCCTCCAGCGTTGCTAGTGTGGTTAACTACCTACCAGAGATCTTGCACTAATCAGTAAATAGACAATCTGTTCTCTCTCTCTCTAGTTTTGGATCTCAATATGATCAGGTCGTTTACATCGTTTACTATCTCTGTATCCACCTTAGCCACAGTTAAGGTCTCGTACACGTTGGAGCAATAAATACTCCATGCTTTCTTGTGTAATGTACACGAGCCGCCCTTACTCTTAGGTTGTGTTTATATGAATGCTCTCTTGGATGTCAATGGACATTTATATGGACACAGCGTCGTTGGCATCCCCGTCTCGGCGGCAGGTCCGGCCAGTAGAGTTTTAGCGCTCTATATGCAACAACATACACACTCACTAGAGTTTCTTGCCAATACACCCTGCTTGACGCTTTGTTTCATCACTCTCCTCACCTCACTGCGAAGCTTGCGGATAGCACTTCCTTTCCCGGGCCAAGTCGTCATTTTCTCATTCCTTGGCTCGAGGCATCTCCCTTTAATCGCTTTGCAATGATGTGTGTACGTCGCATGGATGTTGGTAGATTTTTGAGCTCTTCGATGCTTTACCACGGCGACATTAATAATGACACAGGCGCAACAGCTTGTGCCAGCCATGGCTACTCCGTACATCGTTCAATGTCGACCCAAAGCGTTATCTCTTCTCAGCCCTCCTAACGTCCATTAGTACGTGATTGGAAGACGATGGAGGCGCTTGTGCAATCGCATAGTGCCAAATCAGTGATCATCTTCTTGTTCTCGGGCGAAAACAGTGGCATATTATCATCTTCCACAGCTCCAGTATCATTAAGAGGGTGGAGCTCAGTGCCCCCTATTGCTCCACCTCGCTACTCCGTCTGGTCGAACAGTTCCGACTCAGCACCATTATCTAATAATCGACTGTCTAATTCCTCAAAGGTCACGACTCCTACATCCAAATCCTACACTCAACACCGTGGTTCAGGGAATGGTCGACGCTAGTGCCATCGGCCACGGAATTTAAAGCAAAAACAAGCGATGGCCCGATAGACGAGAAGCTGGTGTTAACGCCCACTACAAGTGCCCACGCTGCTGCATTATCTATGTCATACCTACCAGTACCTGATCCTTGACGCAACATTATCTGTGTCATACCTACTAGCACCTGATTCTGCAGCCGCTCCTTGCTCCAGCACGTACTGCCCCACAAAGACTGGACACCTGATCAGATTTGCCAACTGGATCTCGCACGAGCTTCCTCATGTCGCTCTTTATATACAAACAATGACGAAAAGTGAGATTTGCTACTACATGTGTACTTGAACATACCTTCCATCACCAAAGATTGACGGAGCCAGCATTGTGCATTTTTCCTTTTGGAGCAACAACACGAGCAGTTTAACACCACTTTGCACCGAGATGGCTTTCGTTCGTGTGTGTATTATTGCTGCTTTCACATTATGGTCTGGGTATTACACACAGGCGAGTTCTACGAAAACAACCGGTTTGCCATCTTTGAAATTCCAATTAACGCTCAAACGTAGCTCCGTGCGGGTACAAGGTTTGACTGAATTGTCCGTCTTTGCAAACCCGATTGAATTGGACGGGGGTGACAGTGTACTCTACGATGTCTTTTCATCATTCACCGAACGCGATACAGTGCACAACTACTACCTTGTCAATGGAATTGGTATGTCTTCAAGTGTCTCAAACTTTTGTACTGAAAATGTGACCATGCAATGTCAGGATTCCCTACTCGACGACATTCCATCGATTAACACTATCATCAGTGCGTTAAACGAAGCAACTGCTATCTCAAGTGAGGCAGGAACTTTTCAAAGTGCGGTGGAGTGCCCGAATGGAAATCTATTCAAGGTTACGATCAACAACATCGATTTTGCATTGTGCACATTGGATTCGCTGGGATTTACGATGCACGGTAGTGAGATGGACGTGAAGGTTGAGTATCTCAATGCCCACCTGAACATTAGAATTCCGACTCCGACTTCGGAACTAAACTGCGACACAGTGGCGACTCGTAGCTCCATTACACAGATCGGAAAGTATTTGTTGACCGGAAAACTGATTCAAGGCAATGCGAGAAGCTTAAAAGCTGCGATCGATTTTTCGTCGACAATTTCGCCGACAACTTCGTCAGCCTGTTCATGCAAATCAACACGTCGCCCGTGCATCTTCTTTCATGGGTGGGGGAGAGATGTCGAAATGCCGGAGAATCAGAATAATTACACGGAATACTGGGGCGAGCACTTGTTCGAACACACGCCGTGCTGTTCATCGATCAAGTTCGCGCGACTGAATACGATAAATGATCCGTGGACTAGCAGAAGACAACAGCGAAAAGTGTGTGATCGTCTCTTGGCAGTGAGTGACAAAAGTACCGATGTTAAGATCGTTAACACTATCGTCGTTACGCACTCACTAAGTGGTCTCATGCTTGCTGGTGCACTTTCCAGCGGTCTTTGCACGCTAGACTCTAGCTCATCGTGGGTGGCCTTGGCGCCACCTATGATGGGTAGTGGGGCGGCAGATTTTGCCCAGGAGTCCTGTGATGGAAATTTAGGCGTAGTCGCGACAGAATTTGGAGAGCTTACGGGTAAGTGCCCTCCGGACCCAGCATTGAAAGCGATGTCATACCAGGGTGGGAAATACAGTTCCAAGAGCCTGGATGCAGCGTACGTAGCTGCACAGAAAGCTTTCCAGGCAAACGTGTATGCAGTCATCTGTAGCAAGAGAAGCTCCGGACTTCTATCTGTCCGCCAAGTAATGTATTGGGCTTTGGGAAAAATTCTTCCTCACCACTCCAAGCAGAATGATGGCATGGTAGACTTCGAAAGCTGCGCTGGAGGGGTTCCTCTATCGAAGTTTGGTGAAACCTGGAAAAGTCGGTTTTACTTGACAGAGCTGAACCATAGCGATGTGAAGCTCGTGTTTCGTGATTCACGATGGAACGAGTCAAAAATGCCTAGGAAATGGTTTGAGTGCTTGTTATAGCTTTGTACATTTAGTTTTTTATATTAATTCAAATCAACGATTTGAATACCTTTGGAGAGCTAAAACATGCAGTGGATCCGTAACTCTCTTTAGAACAAAGTTTGTCTCACTAGCACAGGTATCATCCCAATTTCTTATTTTCTTGCATTGGTCTCACCGTGAGTTTGCCCATCAAGTGGGTGATGTTTATGGTATTGGCTATCATAAACTGTAAGCCTCTTGCACTAATATCAAAATGCCCAATAGTAAGAAAACACGTCAACGTCTCGGCATTACATAAATAAAGAGGTATGGACGCTTCGTAGACATCTATCTATATACTGTATATATACTAGAGCGTTTTACCCCGTTGTTCCGACAGACATGGTGCAGGAAGTCTACGCTAATAGTATATATTGCCAATCTGAATGAAGTTCTGCTGCAAAATTAGCCAATGCAAATGAAGACCTGCTTAAAATTCAGCCAATCCGAATGCCCGAAAAGGATCGTATATCATTGGATTGGCTAATTTTTCGTTTTTTTCGTTTTGCCTAAATTTGGATCAACTGATTTTGCATTTTGCATTGGGTTCGATAGAATACGTGCTTAGCAGAACATTTGAAATTATAGCAAATCTTATTTGAGAAATATATTAGGATTGGAGTAAATTTACATTGGAAAGAAAAATACGCCAGGACACTACTTTTCAGCTTCGTTTCCGTTGTTTATTTGGTTAATTTACACGTAAGCGCGTGGCAGAACATAGAGCCGCTCTAACGGAGCAACTCGATGTTCTAGCGCGTGCTCTCGCATGGGCAACTGTACGGTTCCCTTTCGAAATGACAAGTTGATACCCTTAAGATACCTATATGTATAGGAAATATACTATCAGCATTAACTTCGTGCACCATGTCTATCGGAACGAAAAGTGAAAACTCTAGTCTATGTATAAAAGGCCGAATCTTGATTATCTATATGTGTGTCAATCACCATTTTGATGCTACATTTAGCCTGTGTGCACCCTTTGATGCTGCTTGTCGTGTAGACGGGCACTTCGTAAAGAAGCTGCCACGTAATACGCGGACACACCTTCAAGCAGCGCTAGGAAGCGGTTATACCGTCTTACCTCCGCGTGCGGTGGTGGTGGTGTTTGTCGGCGCTAAAAAGCGCTGTACCAACTGTTGCCGGTCGCTTTGGAGCGAACCGCGTAACGAGCTGCTAAGACAAGATCTACACTTACGACACGCAGAAGCTTATACAGCTTCTCGTGCGCAGTGTGCGATGTTTAGTAGATTCAAGACTGACTTATATTTAGTAGAAATTAAACTAAATACAAACTTAACTACTAGTTGTTTAGTTATTCAAAGATTGGATACACGTCTCTTTAGAAACGTATCCTTACGTGCGAGCTTAAAATATATATAGCTCGCTGATGACGTCTGCTGGAAGCGTCACCATGACGCCCAGTCCCAACTGGCGTCATCCTCGTTGAATATGAATCCATCCATGGATATCACATTCACGAGGGTGGGTCACATTGATGTGCCACACCCAAGTGACAGGCCTAAGGTACTCCGTACCCATTTAATCCTGCCCGTTAAGTATCGAATACTTAACGAACCGCGGACATTTTAGCCCGTTACACCATCCCCCTCTTTCAGATGATTTTTACATTTTGTAATACATCGAATAAAGAAACGATGTCATTGAAACGTGGAAAGGCTGATGGGTCGCCTGCAATGGCGCCCATGCCGACCAAAACAAAGCGCACGCGCCGCGATATCTCACAGTCGTCGCTAACTTTCTCTGTGGCAACGCCGACATCTAATGTCAGGTTGCCAGCAGAAAACACTGGTCCATCCCACCATGGTGCGGATGATGATCTGTCTTTCATTGCTGACTACAATGAGAGTGCAGCATTGCCATTACCTCAAAGTGGTGATGTGCACAGTGCTCTGATTGGTTATATGTCCCCATCATTTGAGACACCCAACCTTCATGAAGCTTCTACGCTTCCTGACAGCGAAGGTCATGCCTCGTCGTCTGCGCCAACGAGAGCAGCGATCACAACTGAGCGCGCTGCTTCGAAAGAAACAGCCGCGACTCAACAGCAGGTCGGCGATTCTAAATTTACCGCCTCTATAAACCCTACGTATGATGTCTTGACAATCCATAATGGAGTGTCAGACTCAGGCGAGGGTGAGCAAAAATCCCCTTCGACTTCAAAGTCGGCCTCACTAGCTTGCCGTCGCGAGGGCGGCTACGTGAGTGATGGTTTGCCAGCTATGCCACCGCCATCCGAGTGGTCACACTCGAGTGGTAATAGTGCGACGATTTTAAGACGTGATACTATTGACGCTAATGAACTTTTTAGCGTCTTTCCATAATGGAAAAGGCAGGACAAAGCGCGTGGTCGTGCTTTCCTTATCCCTTTCGTGTTGCGATAGAATGAAACAATCGATGAATACGAGGCAGAGTTACTGCGCCGTGTTGAACCGTATGCCGATGCAGTGAAACATCGGTCGCAGCGAATCAGCTTCGCTATGACGCGTGCGAGGGAATATTGGGCGATAAAATACCCCAAACTCTTCCTCGTCACGCTGCCTGCTAGTCTATCAGGATTTAGCAGAGCGAATGCAGCTGGTGATTCTGCTCGTAAGCAGCCACCAGACCAGGCATGTCGACACGCAGCCCATCAACTGGTTCCCAAGAGTCGAAACTTTTCGAGTATCCTTTCCACTAAACAAGAATCTGGAGCTTTTGCTTCACATGGCGGTAAGCCAACAGCCTTCCAATAAGGAAGCGTGTGTTCCCACCCGCATCCACCAACACAGGTGGCGCCAGATATGAGCGGAAATTACGCTTAACTATTCGCGGCTGCCTATCCTGTTGTCGTTCAGTCACAGGCAAAGATCGCTGCGCTGAAGAAAGAGGTGGCTGATCTGTCAAGTCAAGTCTCGCGACTGACTTTGGATCTACGCTCTGTGAATACGAGGAATCGTCAGGTGTATGACCGCCTGAAGACCCGTTTGGACATACATGAGCGACTGGTAATGAGAGACCCACGTCCAGCACGGAGGCCTCGATCACTTCGCTCACGCTTCTAGTATCCAGATCGCCTATGACATCTTTAAGAGGTCGGTCATTGGTCGACGCTGTTGATAACACGATAGTGTCATCGTTAAGAAGCGCAGGCATTTCTAGACGCGCCTACCTATCGGTATCGTAATCACTGCTAAATTAGCAGTGTCAGTAGGGCAATTTTGACCCTCTTTGGCATTCGCACCGAGCGAAGTGAGGGGCCCTCCCCCACTAAGACTAGGGCTGCGCACAAGCGAAACTGGCGTCCGAGGATGACGCAGTCCGTTAATGTAAAACGGTGTTTCACCCGTACTGGAGTGAGCGCTGTTATTTAATAGCGAACTCCACGAATGGCAATTGCTTGCTCCATTCCTTAAAAGTCGATATTGTGCGCAATACATCTTCACGATTCGATTGGTACGTTCTGTTTGCCCAACGGTCTGGGACGATCGGCTGTTACCATGTGGAGCTTGCTTGCCAGCAGCTCAAACACATGACGCCAAAAACCTGACGTAAAACGTGGATCCCGTCCCGATACAAGGGACTCGGGCATCGCCTGTAGTCGGTACACATGATCCAGAAACAAGAGGGCAGCCTTTATTTCGGAGATCTTGGTGCTACATGGTGCTAAATGCGCCATCTTGCTCAGTGCGTCTACAAAGACGACGAGCCCCGTCCTGCCTTTATGGTCAGGTGGTAAGCCAAACATGAAGTCCAAACTGACCGACTTCCAACACTCAGTTGGAATCGGCAGTGGCTTCAGTGGCGCACTGTTCAAAGGTGCAGGCTTTATGCGCTGACACTCTTCACAAGAGCGAATATAGTTGGCCACCCACCGATATAGGTGGGGCCACCAAAATTCCTCTGACACTCGTAAGAATGTCTTTTCACGGCCCAGATGCCCACTAGATGGCGCATCATGGCACTCTTGAAGTATCATCAGCTTGAGATCTGTGTCATGAGGGACATAGATTCTCAAGGGATCACAGGGTGACAGTTGATGCCATAGCAGGCCATCACTGTAACTAAAGCGATTTAACTTCGCATTCAGGTGCGACGGATGGGTAACCTTTCGTCCACCAAAATCATACAACAGCAGGCGACAATGTTCGTCTTGACTGTAGCACTCCTTTATATCGAAAGCCATTGAGCTCGTCACATGTTAAACCTTCATGGATGCCAATGTTGACGACTCAACTTGTGCTTTCGCGCGAGACACACTTTCCTAGTGCCTTGCCTCGAAGTATGGTCTGCGCGATAAAGCGTCAGCCAAGACATTCGACTTACCCGGCTTATATTCAACTTTGGAATTAAATTCAGAGGAGAATGTTAGCCATATCGCCATTCTAGGCGAGAGGTGTGGTGTATTTATGGCGGTTCGAAGTGATGCGTGATCCGTATAAACCTCAAAAGGTTCGGTGCCCAAGAGGTGCACCCGAAACTTCACAAGGGAATGCGTGCACAAAGTTATCAAGTGCGAGCTCAATAACAGGGAGCATAGAGCTCCAACGCTTAGGCATTTCAGAACAAACGCTGCGGAGGATATCCTCAACGACGCGATTAGCACGTTCAGTTTGACCATCGGTCTGCGGATGATTCGCTGTGGACATGTCCAATCGGGTGCCTAGCACCTGGAGGATGGTCTTCGAATACTTACTCGTAAAACGAGGGTCACGGTCAGGAACAATTGCGACAGGCATGCCATGTGCCATGTTGGCGAAACAATCGATCGATAAACAGTTCCGCTGTACCTTCACAATCGATCGAGTCCGGAACAGCCACTAAGTAAGCCATTTTGCTCAAATGGTCAACAAAGACTTCAATACCTGTGTTGCCATGCGAATCTTTCGGTAGGCCAAACACAAAATCCATACTAATGAACTCCCAAGCCCAGTGGGAATAGACAAACTAGCCAGAGGCGCCACTGAATGGGGCGAGGT